GAGCACTCGTCTTAATGTCACTGTGGCATTAGTGCAGTTATATCAACGTTGCATCACCGCGGTCCACTTCCGTGCGACCAGGGAAGCCACTCGTTTTTGTCCCGAACAAACATTTTTTATCACCTTCTTATGATGTCTCCATCTTCCGCCATTTATCTCTCAATCGTTCCACTCTGTATCTTATTGATTAGTGAAAGCGTTCATCAAATTATGTCATAGATTTACTTATCGACGCTATGAATAGTTAATTTGTTATGATTATTGCTTTATTAACTATCAGATTTTAATTGTAACTCAACTCGTGACTATGTCTAATATAAACAAAGGAACGATGATTGAAACTGATTTCTTTTGCTTAATTCCAATTGACTATTGGGTACCGGACACTGTTTACAATTCATTCCGTCCAGTAGCATTAAATGATACTCGTACATGAAAAACTGCTTTGTTATTTTTATAAATGTTATATTTTGTTTTTATTTACTTTACATCAATAAACATTTTTCAATACTCTTTAAGTACCTACCTAAAAGTATCGTCATATGTACTTCTCGTAAATACCAAGTTAGATTTATGAAGATTGATTAAGTATTAAAGTAAATTAAGCATGAAAACGGCAATTCTAATCGACCTTCCAGTAATTTGTACCAAAACGTTTAACTATAATGTATCTACCATTAGAAGCAACTTTGTTATGTAACTCTAATTTTGTGCAATTTTCAGGTATTTCCTTCCTATCTGAAGTTACGCTTTTCATTATTACGATATAGCATAATATGCCTTATTGTTCAGTAATTCAGTACAATATTATCAATCAATTTAATTAACGGCAAGAAAATGCTAAGTACGACTTTAATTGCTTACGTGGCTCCTTGTTGTCGACAATAATCCAATTTACTGTTTCTGACAATTTGAGAAAATATAAATAATATTCTACGCTCTAATGAAAGATATGACTAATTTTACTTTATTAATGCTATTATGAAAAGTGAAATAATGAACGATAATTGAATTAACATTACGATAAGCATTATAATATAACATTATGCTATCCAGGTGTTTGTAACACACCAGTCAAGATTTTCCATATGCCCTGAAAGCAATTCCGGTCTTAGAAAAGTTTAATACCTTTCAGGCGTCTTTTTCCCGCTTGGTAACGAAGAGAATTTGATTTTATACTTCTCGCTCTACCAATATTCTTCTCCCTGATACCCCTCGGGTATCGATGACTGATTAGTCTTCTTCTCAAGTGTTTGGGTTTGATTGGTGGCTGGTTATACTGGAGTTGCAATGGTGGCAAAGAGAGGAGGGGTTAGTTGCGTATCGTTTAGTTTCTATCAGTTAAGGAAACTTACATGACAAACTTATACTATAGATAGTATGATATAATAGTCTGATATCACGTGAAGTAGGTATCTCTGTCTTCAGTAGGAAGTTTAAGCTTGCTTTAGATTATTTATACTTTAAAATCAGTACCATTGACCGATTTATCGAGTAAGTCTTCAAATAATTAGTCCACCCAGCCTTGGCACACTAGTATGAAGGTGTGTTCCATACAAGAGCAGCCACCATTACAACATACCCACGCGCGGGTGCGCAAAACGGCAGTCTTCTTAACATATTAATGTGTTTAGTATACATGAAATATATTAGAATGTCTGTCATGAACTTATTTTTAACTACAGAAATAGATATTACTGTCTTGACGTTGAATTAAAATAATCCTAAATTAGAGATAATTATGTAATTATCTGAAGCCTTCCAAATAAAGTTTCAACTATTTTTCATAATATTGATCAATATAAGTTGTACCAGCAAAAATTGAAACACAAATCTCTAAAGACCGAACGAGTAAGTCCATTATACTGTTATCCAGAAAAATTAAAGCTCAATTTTTCTTACTCCCGGTTTTGAGTTTTCCTTAAAATGAACAGACACATGTAATGTAGAGGCACCTTTCAGTCAAAGCTTTTGAGCGTGTTTTGAATTTAACTTTAAAGTCCGCAAACCTGTTCTATACCTACTCTGTCTCGTAAATTAAGAATCATAACCGAATAATCGATATAATATCGCTTGTCGCAGAGGCCGGCACGGCGTTGCCTTGGCGCACTTATCAATCCATGGAACCCAGCCTATTAGGACACGAAGGCGGTCACGACTCTTTGCAAATAAGCAGCTTTTAGAATAACAAATCAATGGTGCAATTAAATTAATGATACCCACGCTAAATTAAAATACTGAATACGTACAAAATACTGCATAGCATATTTATATCAATATTCCTATTAGACGTTCGAAGATTAACAGATGAAATGAAAGTTACCGTATAGGATTTCGACAAAACGTACGAAACTGAATGGTGAGATACGTTACAATAACTGTAATTTTAATAGCTACCCATGTTAAAAAGCCGTAACAACACGCCAAGGTCGATCTATCGAAATACCTACCTACCATAAAACAATAAGTGAAACTAATGGCAATAATTACTGTTACTATATGACTATTTGACCAACTGAATATATTTTTCAACTCTCTTGCTTACTCCAAGTGTTACGTTACAGGTTTTAAGCTCATATTACAAACGCACCTAGTATCTAACATAATGTCCATTGTTAATTTAACTCCAGTAAGAGCTGGAGCCATAGGATGCCCATGTCGGGCATCATGAATGACGCCAATGTCTTCTAAAAACGAAAGTTCCAACCCCTAAAACTCTCTTCAATTAAGTAAGTAATAACCAATTTTGCTTAGATATGTATATGTTACGGTAAATGTGATAAATGTGAAAATTATGAATAATCGCCGGTTATTATGAATAATTACCTCATGATTTGGTAAATGTGATTATTATGTGTGTATAAACTAAATAGGCGGCTTAGGGGTGGCCCAAGGGCCACCTTACCCTATTTTTTCACTTTAAATCAAAACAATGTGTTATAGGCATTATGGCAAAGTAATGTTATGCAAAAAACATTCCAAACTCATTTTGCCAAATTATATTAATATATGATATTAAAACGTTCAATGTGAGGCTGTAGCCTGTACATGAGCGCTGTACACGAGCCGGTGTTCTCTTTTATGGTATTTGTTAGTATTAAGGTTACATTATGAAATAATCACTGATAAATGTTATTAATTTATCACTTTTACCAAGCCTGTCGGTAATTATTCATAATAACCGGCGATTATTCATAATTTTCACATTTATCACTTTGACCGTAACACATACATACTTGTAAATGTAGGCACTATTATGTTAGAAGCTAGTTAGCTACGCAGCAGCTCGCATGAATATGAAGGCCTTTCAGTTTTTGTTTTAATGGAGAAAGTCCTGCATACAATTTGTGATGACAATGCCATTCTTACTCGTAGTACAATGTAGGCACGTTCACACACTGAACAGTAAAAATCTTATCTTTTTGCACAGATACGAGATTACTTTGTGTGATTGTCTAATAAAACATCATAATCAGCAAAGATGTTAGAATTACCTAACTACCATTTGTATTGCAAGGTCATTGTTTTTATAGGAATCTTTAAATTAAGTAAGTAATTAGTTATTATATGAAACTGCTGTTTACTAGTTTACATACTACAGAACTTTAAAAAAGAAGAAGAATCTCTCATCTAAAAATTCACTTCTTACTCCATATTAACAAAAACAAATGAGATGCAGACATGTTTCCTTATGATTTGGTTGGAAAACTTTCGAATTAAAAATCGTTATTATTTTATTATGTAAATTGTGACTATCTTCCGCATGGGACCGCGGAAATACCGCGGGTTAGAGGAAACTGCTAATTCTAGGTGGCAGGTATTTCTACGGAAAACTGCTCCCAATCACGATATGTAATGTAATGTCCCTACTTATCGCTAATCACAATCCAAGTAGCTTATATGTGTGTACCACTTCATTGCAACAAAGGATTTTAAGACTTATTATGCAGTGATACATAAATAGATATTGCTAACATAGACTTCCTTATTAACTTAGTCCATAATAGGAATTTAAATAGCAGAGCTCTTTGTCGGATGCTCTTCCATCCAGGCTGAATATTATAAAACAAATAGGTAAGTATTAGTTACTTGTCAATAATAGTATAGGTACTTTTTAGTTGCAAAAGTTATAAAGTTTCAGTAATATTTTCACATCTAGGTTATGGTCACTAAAGTGAACTTTGGGTCAAGACATTGTTACCTTTATGGTAGATTCGATTTCATGATCGCCTTTTTATCAAATTGAAATTGATAACTAAGCTTTATATTGTACTGCCTCAGAATTATGGAATAATTGAGCATTTGTCAAACTACAAAACGACGTAAATTGACCGAGTAGCCCATTTTCAGGTCAATAGAATCATAAAAGATACGAATCGAATACACTTTTATCACACTTTCAACAACTTGCAGCCTCGTTATAGCGCTATTGATGAAAGTTACGTAACAAGATGTATATCAGAAGCTTTATCAGTTAAGCAATCTTCTTTCTGAGTGGGATTAATAAAATAAAAATTAAACTTGTATGAGTGCAGTCAATTACTGTCCCAGTAGTTTATGTAATAACACAGTCATTCATTATTCGGAGCTAACGTATCAATTGAAATGATAACTTGATTAATCAAATCTAATTTGTCGTAATTACTAACTAGGCAGATAACTGTGGTGGTTTTATTGGCGACCATGATCTAGATCCTAGCTACACAGTAGTGCATTGGTGGAAAGAATGATAGCGAGAGCCCCAGAATGTATAAGCTATTAAATACAGAGTATGTAGAGTTTTTTCAAGATCATTATTTTTTATATTGACACGTTACATCAAATATTATACAGGTGAAAATGAAGATGGAAACATTATTCTCAACTTGACTGTTAACCCCATACTACCCTAAAATTCTGGGCTGACTCAAATATTGCAAGTTTTAAGGAATTAACTAGGTATACTCAACAAAAATTATACTGTTTCAGATATCTAAAATATCATTATTCTTTTGTTTCAGTGCATCCAGGGAATGCGACGCCTGCACCTGACTGACAGGCACCTACGGGTGATGCTGTGGTGCATACTGCTCGGTCTACAGCCTGCCTTCGGAGGCATCCTAGACCCCTTCAACTGGGCTCGATCTGACAGAATAGAGGTCAACATACCCTGGCTACCATGTGAGTGTTACACCTCTAAACTGGAGATAATTTGATACATAACTAGCTGCGAAAAACCCTTAAATAACCTAGGGGTATGAAAAATAGTTTGTCCTATTCTCAGACCTACCGACTGAATGTACACTTCGATACACACAACATATTTTCATAAGAATCAATAAAGCCATTTGTTATAAACAATGCGACACGAGAATTTGATACAGTTAAAATTAATTAACGCTAAACTTACAGCTTAACGATGTTTCCGTCTAATAACATTAAATCAGTCACAGTTGATGTATTTTTATTTCTACTTGGTTTATTATTATTTCGTTTCAGTTGAAAATGAAACAAGATGCTACGACGACCTCGGTTGCCTCAACATCACAAGGAGTTGGTACCACCTAATCCACCGGCCTTTCAACGTATTTCCTCTGCCCAGAGTTGTTATCAATACAAGGTATGTTTACACTATTCTTCCTTTGATTGTAATTTAGATAACACGCTAAGTACTTAATGTAGGTAGTAGTTAGTTAAGTGATTGAACTGCACAGCATTAGCAAAATAAGCCCCGAATCGAGACACACCTACATAAATCAATTGTTACGCGGTCAAATGCGACCGATTTGATGAGACAGAATCTACTTTATTCAACGAATTTAATCATTAAAATATAGTTAGGGAAAATAAATAAATAAATAAATCTTTGGACAATTTCACACAGCGCCAGCTAGCCCCAAAGTAAGCAACTTAATGCTTGTGTTATGGGTGCTAGCTTAACGGATATACTACTTATATACTTTTTTTTTAAATACATAAATATTATACATAGTCACACCCAGACCCGTCACAGAAATTAAAATTCATCATTTCAATTTCTGCCCGGCCGGGAATCGAACCCGGGACCTCTCGGCATAGTAGTCCGTTCTGAACCACTACACCAAACGGCCGACTAAAANAGGGAAATGCTTTTTAATAATTTAATCAGTTTATGAAATTCTTTTTCAGGTTCATTCTCTATACAAAGAAGAATCCCACAGACGGACAGTTGCTGAACGTGAATGTGAACAAGACCATCGTGAAGTCCAATTTTAATCCACAGCGTCTCACCAAGATGATCATACACGGGTTCATTGACACACCACTGTCCAACTGGGTAATTCTATTTGTTTAAACTGCAAAGACGCAGCGTAGATAAGTGTGTCCTACCATACAGTGGGCCGATGACCTAATAAAAATGGCAAGACGGCTTACTAACATGCAGGTGGCTTGCGACCGGTCCGCTAGTCTAGGGGGAGGCCTAGTTTGCTCAGTAACGGACTTACTACAGATGATCTTACGCTATTTTGAATTCCCAAAGTTTCGAGTTTCCCGTCTGATTATACTATTGCAGAATTTCATCCTTTGATGCTATTGACTTTATTTTGCCTCTGCGTGTATTATTTTCAAAAACTACTGAAAGGTGCAATCCTGGCTTCAACAAATACAAACACTTTTTTATAGGACCAATATCGAAAGCTCTATTAAAAAATCACTCCCATGTAAAAACTGACTGCTGTAGCACCAGAATCACCCACACTTTTTTCTACGTTAGATACCAATAGACTACGAGCTGGTGAACGCCAGACGTGATTTTATAAAAGTTGAAAGTTTGTCAACGTATGCTCCCAATATAGGTTAGAATGTTGGTGCATCATGAATTTTGAGTCATCGTGGCTTTGGCAGCTATCCTAAAAAGATTGTCTGGCAAGGAGTTGGAACTGTCAAAACTGTCTGGCTGATGAGAAAACTACTTACATTCTAACCTTTAATGGGAGAATAAATAAATAAAATAATAAACAAAAACTTTTTTAATTAAAAAGACGATAGCCTTTGGGGCAGAAAAGTTCTCGAGTGGCGACCACGGGCTGGAAGACGTAGCGTGGGCAGGCCTCCTACTAGGTGGACCGACGATCTGGTAAAGGTCGCGGGAAGAGCCTGGATGCGGGCAGCGCAGGACCGTGCATTGTGGAAAACCTTGGAGGAGGCCTTTGTCCAGCAGTGGACGTCATTTGGCTGAAACGAACGAACGAACGAAAAAGTTTTTATTTCGAACAACTCATAGTTCATAGTGTGGTTAGTAAACACACCTTAAATGCTAATGTTAGTAATCATTATCAAGGTGGCAAACTTTCAGCTTTTTTAAAATGACGTGGGTCTGGCGTTCACTAGCTCTTGTCAATTTAACACCAAAGTGGCTACCAAAGTTTTAACAAACCACAATATTACAGGTAAGCGAGATGAAAGACGAGTTGGTAAAGGCGGGCGACTTCAACGTGGTGGTGGTGGACTGGGCGGGCGGCAGTCTGCCGCTCTACACGCAGGCCACGGCCAACACCCGCCTCGTGGGGCTGGAGGTGGCGCATTTTATTAACACATTACAGGTAAGTCGTTAAAAAAAAATGTGGGCTAAGTGTGAGTAAACTCATCAATCGTCCTCACTAGTGAGCGCGTTAAAAATGTATGAAGATTTTAGTTCTTGAAAGTTTCCGCTAGGGGCGCTGTGCAATCCGTCATACATTTAGGCTGGGTTGCACCATCTTACTTTAACTTTGACAAACGTCAAAAAACTGTCAAACTCCATACAAAAAACACCGGTTATCGTTAAATTTACTGTCAAAGTTAGCTGATGCAACTACTCAGCCTTAATGTCACTTTTTTACGCAGTCGATATCGAATGCGTTTGACGTAAACTGACACTAAGTACGCCCCGTAATCTGTACAGAGGAGACCTCATAGGGCAATTTTCCGTTAGTTATAAATAGCATCTGCTATGGTAAACTACAAAATACTGTATAGCTATGCTGCATGATATGCTGTCGTTTCAATGTAGTCATAACGAAAGTTCATACATACCTACACCCTGAAACAATAAGGATCACGGTAGAGAAAATATACTTTTAGAGGCATATTTAAAATAAATTGTCAATAGGTACCTACTTTTGTTCCTGAAATTAAAATCACACGAAGCCTTGAGCAGATTGAGCACATTGAGATTCCGAAGTTTTTTTTTGCCTTTACATAAAGTTAAGAGATGTTATTGGTGTATTTACCTATACGATGCTACTTTTAATTGCAGAAAGAACATGGCCTGAATCCACTGGATGTCCACATCATAGGCCATTCATTAGGAGCGCACACAGCTGGCTACGCCGGAGAGAGAATACAAGTAAGTGGCCGCTTGAAACAGTTCCCAACTGTCTTGAAAATGGTAATTAGTTCATATTGAATTTCATATTGTCTTTGATTTAGCATTTGATTTGGTAGGGCTTAGGAAGAATAACAGGGCTAGACCCCGCCGAGCCATACTTCCAAGGAATGCCGACGCACGTTCGGTTGGACCCCACAGACGCGCAGTTTGTAGATGTTATACACACTGACGGAAAGAGCATCTTTCTATTAGGTAATCCTTTTAACGCAATACAATCGTAATTTACGAACACGAATGTTTCTTATAATCCATACCGCACCTCCATTACAATATGCATGCGTAATATATTAACTAAGCGAATGAACTTGTATTATAGATAGCTTAATCGCTCTCGTTGGATAATGTACTAACCCACTTTATGTATTTATGTAAATACGCTTTTCGCTTTGAGGTTCATCATTCATTGTATAGTTTTATATATATATCTATTTGCATCTCAACTAATTATCGACATGTTTATTCCGCGCGTGCGACAGATTTTGTGTTTATGGCAGGATATGGGATGTCGCAACCGGTTGGACATTTGGACTTTTACCCTAACAACGGCAAGGAGCAGCCTGGCTGTGACCTAACGGAGGGACCACTAGTGCCCCTGACCCTCGTCAAGCAAGGTCTCGAAGAGGCGTCTCGAGTACTGGTCGCTTGCAACCACGTAAGGGCTATCAAACTCTTCACCGAGTCAATAAACGGGAAATGCCCTTACATAGGTAATGAAACGGACAAAAATTTAGAGATAGAAAGTCTCCTGAAATTATTAATGTGTCCTGTATTTTTATGTTTCTAACCTATGAATATTTTTAGGACACCAATGTCCGTCATACCAGCACTTCTTAGATGGAAAATGTTTCCACTGCGGTCATGGTTGCGCTATAATGGGGTACGTACCTTTTGCTCTAAGAATAATAGCACTTAGTCTGAAACTAATAGCCAAGTTGATTACTTACGCAAAGGTTATTGCAGATTCCATGCTGACAGTTCTCCCGGCTTGATTACAAATAAAGATAATGAGACCGAGAACGAAGTGTACCCTTCAGAGGAGCACGACACCATTGGGGCCAAGTACTACCTAAGCACTGGCAAAGAACAACCATTTTGCCGTACGTAGTCTAAATAACAACTGTTAAGTACCTAGGACTATTCATACAATAAATAATCTAAATTATTCTTTCAGAACGGCACTACAAGGTGTCTATTCAGCTAGCAAACCCTAAAGGAGCAGAATCTTGGGTCCAGGTAATGGATTACATGAACAAGTAACGAAACTAAATTTTTTCAACTTAACTTTGAATTCTTGACTAATTGCTGTAATTTTTCAGGGCTTTTTAAAAGTGACTCTTCTGTCAGATCGCGGTGTTATCCGAGGGATGGACTTAACACCAAATAACTATGTTAAGTAAGTGCTATGTGAAAAGTAATTACGATTACCTACTTATATGACGATAAGCAAATTAACTTCGACTGTTAATTTAACTTTTATTTATTTATTTTTCAGATTAGAACATGGCACATCGTACACAATTGTAGTAACACATCCCATGGATATGGGAGGTAAAGTTAGGAAGGTAAATAAAGTGATAATTGTTTATTTATATTTTATGTAGAATGTCTAATAAAATAATGTTTCTCAGTGCCAAAAACTAACTAACAAAGAACTGGTAATGTTGGTGAACATTTTCACGTCTGTGACGTGGAAATTACATAACTTATTTGCATTATCAGTGTTTCAGTGCTTTGTTACTCGCCTGTATAAAAATATTGCTGTCCTATACCGACATCAACTATGACTGACTTTTTACTCGACAGCAGAAAGGTAACGTTTTTGAACGAGTTCAAGAATATAGCTATGTTTATTAATGGGTAAAATTCTTACATTGCAGCATTTGTAACTCTTTACAACTTCAACTTTCTTTGTTGAGTCAATGCCTTCAAGCTGAAGTAAAACGCGAAGTGACTGCGCCTATACGACTGATAGTTTGAGTTATTTAAAATATTATAGTTGCGGATTTACCATTCAAATCATAAAAGCCAATTAGTATCCTGGATACATAACTATAGATGTGTTGTTACCACCAACTTCGTAATCATGCTTTAAACATCGTTTCAGCCGAAAGACGTCCACTGCTGGACAAAGGCCTCCCCCAAGGATTTCCACAAAGACCGGTCCTGCGCCGCTTGCATCCAGGTACTTCCCGCGACCTTCACCAGATCGTCGGTCCACCTAGTGGGAGGCCTGCCCACGCTACGTCTTCCAGCTCGTGGTCGCCACTCAAGAACTTTTCTGCCCCAGCGGCCATCAGCTCTTAGAGCTTTAAACATACAAGCTACCTACTCAAGACCACAGCGAATACCACGTGACACACGTTACTGAAACGTTTTCTTACAAAATTGTGCATTTTCTGATTCTCCAGGTGGAGTTATCGTGGGAGTACGACATGAATGTACTGGAGCCGCGATCGCTCTGCATCCTGTGGTGCAATGACCGGCTCTACGTCAAGTCGGTAACCGTTGACCAAATGGAATTACCAAGTCGAGGGTAATAACCTTTTTAATTAATGTTTTAGTAAATAATGACGATCATAACTCACTTTCACAATAACTGAAGTGTGGAGAAAACGAGAAGCGTGTTGTGTGCAGTGGGTCCCAGGTTTGATTCCTGGTCTGATTTTTATGACTCATTCGCATCACCACACCCCTGACACGGTTATCAAGTCGTTGTAGGTTCAACCAACACAGACTAAAGCCGAACGTCCACCGCCGGCTAAACTAAGTTATTTTAGCTTAGCTCGCATAGTTGAGCCAGTTTTTCATTTCATTCATTTCATTTTGCGGTGGACGCACATGTATGAAAAGCTGGCTCAACTATGCGAGCTAAGCTAAACTAACTTATTTTAGCCGGCGGTGGACGTTCGGCTTAAGTATTCGTTGCAAAATCGCTACAATACGACCATCGTTGGAGTGAGGCATGTTTCACACACTTCTCCACTCCGCGCTCCGCCTTGGTGGATACCAGGCTTTAGGCATAAAATCGACTAGGTATTTATCATTACGTAACCGTAATTTATTCTTTTCAGGAAAAGAAACGTAGACTTCAGTAGCAAATTGTGTACGCCGAAACGTGAATTTGCTGAGATCCCCAACCGTGGCTCCGCCAGTTTCTACGACAACTGCGGCAGGTAGCTGTGCCATACAACCAACATTGGACTTGTTATTGTGTTAGGTCTAACATTTAGACCCGCCAAAAGCTTTAAATACGCCAGACGAGGGACACAAAGTGCCACCAGTCTGGTGACAAGTTGTTAAAGTGATCGTGACTGTCCTCAGTGATGTTGTTACAGGGAGAAGAAAGAAATATCTTTCTTTAAATTATAAAAAATTGTTGAATCTGTTATAGGACTAAGTGAGAGTTATTTTTATAGTATTGTATTTTATAATTACGATGTACTGATTGAAATACTCATAAAATGTATTTTTACTTTATATTTTATTTATAAACTGTGTAAATAAAAATTTCTTGTCTCGTACCTACTCTCATTCCTTATATTTGTACAGATTTTATTAAACAAAAAAATGCTAACGTTTGTTTTATTACATATTCAATTAGTTATAATAGTATTATTATACAGTTTCAAAATCAAATTAAAGTTTTGAATGAACCGATAAAAATATTTCGAATATTATTTAGTAGGTACTAGCGGCCGCCCGCGACTTCATACGCGTGGATCTCGTTTTACCCCCTTGGAGTTTCGTAAAATCCTTTCTTAGCGGATGCCTACGTCATAACATATACCTGCATGCCAAAGGAGAGTGCCAGCCAATCCATGTATGGAAGTTGGACCAAGTACTGCCCAGAATGAAACTATAGTGCATTTTGTTCCTAAGGCCAATACTAATGTGTAAACCGGAGCGCACTGAAATCTATCCCTGGAGTTAAGAGAAAAAAAGTTTTGTTTTCAATTATTCACATATATGTAATATCATCGATATACTGCACAAGTAGCGCAATCTTATGCGTAGTACGTAACTATAATTATATCGATGTTATATTGCATGTAAATAATTCAAACAAAACTCTTTTTTTCTCTCAACTCCAGGGATAGATTTCAGTGCGCTCCGGTTAGCACATTAGTATTGGCCTGAGGAACAAAATGTACTATGGGTTAATCAGGGCAGCACTTGGTCCAGACCCTGGCACCATCCTTTCAGCTCAATCGGTTGAGAACTGGTCTTAAATTCAGTTGCAAGATTTGTCCCACACATACTAACAAGTCAAGTCAATATAAAGCTTGTAAATAAATAAAAAATTGCATTTTTATATCGTTTCGTTCTGGTTACAAAAACTGTTGTTTTGGGTTCTGGAAGTTCTGGAAGCCCGAACGTACTTGTCAGAACGCGTTTTTCTAGTGTTTTTCAGCGTGCCTGCTGTATCTTTTTGGTAAATAGTAGGTATTGGATTAACGATTAACGGACTTAGGATAATTTTACGGACTTATTAACTTCCGTTATTTGAACCTTGCATACAATTACTTTTTTCGTTTTATTATCATGTGTTAACGGATTAACGATTAACGTTAACTTGCGTTAAATCATGATAAATGTGACGTTTTAACGTTTAACGAAGTTAATTTTTTTATTAAAGGTTTAACGATTAACGAAGTTAACTATTTGATTAACGGTGCCCAGCTATGGATCTAGCGTAACTTTTGTAAGTTGATAGAAATTCATTATTTCCAAAAATGAAGCAAGAAGTTTTAGTTCTAGATCATTGCAAAAAATCAATTTATTGGTGTATTACAATCGATTATTGGAGTTATTAAGCTAAAACTTCTTGCTCCATTTTGGAAATAATTAATTTCTGTCAAGTAAGTAAACTACTGCAACAGCGCTTGATCGTTTATAAAGAATTCACGCCAAATAATTTGTTGCAACGGTCTGTCTACGGCATCGACTTCTATGCATCTATACATTTTCTCTACGTCTGCTACAACCACATACTTATGCTGCCTAAATCGTAAAAGGATTGAAAGTAGGTCATCTTGAACTGTAGGCCCAATCATTTGAAGCTGATTAAATGAAACACCTGTAGTGGTTGGACTACTTGCATTAAATACGACGCGAAGTTTGGTCGTAGTGCTACTCTCACGAAGAACTCCATGATGAGGGATAAAGTAATGAGGGACCGATGTGATCGGTTCGCACTCGGTCATGTGACCTAACGATTCGTATTCTACCATGAAGTCATTATACATTTTACTAAATAACAAATCTTTTTTAAGTCGACGTTCTAATGATAACATACAATGTTTCGCTCGCTGATAAGAAT